GGCCTGGGTCATCTCCCCTTTTCATTTTTATTTATTTATTTATTTTATGTATTTGGTACAGGGTCTCACTGTGCAGCTTGGACCCCCTAGTGATCCTCCTGCTTTCTGCCTCCCCAGTGCTAGGATTACAGACATGCCCGGTCTCGGTGGCCAGCTCAGCACACCTGGGGGCAGGGCTGGAACAGCCTGTGGTGCTAGGGATCCAACCCCAGTCCATGCACTTGGCTAAGCAGGTGCTTAGTCTGCTAAGCTACCTCATCCATTGAGGCCTTTTTAAATTTTTTATTTTTTGAGACAAGCTGTCACTTAGTTGCCAAGGGTGGGTTCAAACTTGCAATTGTCCTGCCTCAGCCTCCCAATTTTAAAGGTATTTTTATCACTCCCGTCATACACAGTAAACTGAGGCTTGGAGAGGGTGCATAACTTGGCCACATCACAAAACTAGAAAGCAGTTTTTCTATTTCACCTAGAAGTGAATAACTTTCCAAGGTTGCACAGAAAGTAAGAGGAAGAGCCAGGCAGTCTAGCTCAGAGCTCCACACTCAAGCGTAAAGTAAACTCGGAGCTGAATCTCTCTGTTGCCTCTCACAGTTGTACCACGTTGAGAAATTTATTTAATCTTTCAGAGCCCCAGTTTCTTCATCTGTAATGAAGACAATATCTATTTTCAGGCCTTTACCCAGATGCTAAAACATGTCAAGTAAGTAGCCCACTGCTCACAAGATGTTATCATTATTAGGGACCCACTCATCCAAGTGCATCTCGGATCCTGCTGGCACGGCCACTGTACTTGTCAGAACACTGAGATGCTTCTGTGCCAGGGGAAGGAACTTCTCCAGTTCCCTGAGCACCCCACTCTCTGCCACTCCACTTCCTGCCACTCACTCATGCAGGAGCCCTCCATAGCCCTGGGGATTGTGAGGGCTTCCAAAGCCCTGCTCTGACGGTTAGTGGCTATGTCTCACTGGTTGTTGCATATTTTCACTATATCCTGCTTATGGAGACAAGCTGCTGCCTTTAATGAATGTACAGCCTGGGAAGGACAGTGGGCATGACAGAAAAGAGCAGTGAAGGCAGTGATGAAGTATAATATGTGCTGTAGCAGATGGTGGGACGCTTCGGCTCACAGGGATCCGGATGCTTCACGGGAGGCAAGAGGCTGCTGCCATCAATAACCTGTGCAGGTGGCTGAGTGAGGGCTTCCCTGCCTCATCACCACTGATGTTCTTCTTGTCTCTCAGTATTTTTATTTTTGCTACCTCCACCTAGTTCATTCCTTCATGATTCTTCACCTGTCTGCTCACAAGAGCTTTATAATTGATCTTCCATTCACCAAATGTTTTAGCACCCATTCTGTAGTTATTTTACTCACACTTTAGCAGGTCCCTGTAGCCCTATCTCGTTGCGGTTTCCAGTACTGGGGACAGAACCTAGGGCCTTCACAGTCAGCCATGTCTCCCCCACTTACTATCATGCCGCCCCAGCCTAATTTTCCAGCATCTTTCCACTGACTACGAGTATATTCCTGACACACTTGCTAAATGAAATGTTCTCTACACCAGACTCTTGTTTTGGTACTTAGAACCTGTGGGGGGTGGGGAGGTAGCTCAGTGGAATAAGTGCTTCCCTGACAAGCGCAAGAGCCTGAGTTCAATCCCCGGTTCCACAAAAAACAACAACAACAAAACCTGTGGGTCCTATTTCAGGGGTTTTCAACGCTTTCCTCAATCATACTTCTTTGGTAAAACATTCTCCCTTTCATGTCTCTTCTTTCTCCATCTCTTCTCTCACCCCAATATCATGAGAAGGGTAATGTTCTCATAACTAACTATATGCCAGGTTCTGTTCTAAGAGTTTGGTGTATCTTACCTCACAAAAACTCTAAGAGGTACAGTACTATTATCTCTGTATTCAGATACTGCTATGGCATTATTATTTCTGTATTCAGACGAAAAAGACTGAGGCAAGAAGAAGTAACCTTCTGAAGGCACACTACAAGTAACAGGTAGAGCTAGGGCTCCAACCCAGAGAGCCTGTGTCTTCTACTGGGATTTTAAAGTGACCTGAAGTTCTCAAAGAAAGAAAAAACAGAAGGAAAAAAAAGCGCCTTTTCATGTTATTATGCAACATATGATGCTACATTTTGTAATTATTCTTGTAATTATTTGATCTCATTTTTATATGGGCTGAAAATTCCTAGAGGAAAGAACTGTAGGTTTCACAGCCTGGGTCTCAGTTACCAGCAATAAGTTGTTGGTAAAGGTAACATTGCTGAGCTACCACATTCTCCAGAGACATCCTGTGAACTAACCACAGCCAAGTCTACCTTCCACTAGTGTTATTGTCTAAGTAAATATATTTCTTGGTGCAGGGTCAACTGTTGTGGGCCAGCTATTTCACAAGAATGGAATAGCTATGCCTACTTTTATTATTCATACTGTGAGTGTCATTTGTCTACTGCATAATGAAATAGATGCATGTGTAGGTGACTTCTCCCTTTTAAGACTCAAAGAAACTAAAAGATCTGGAAGCCATTTATTTTAATTTTATTTTTATTTTTTATGTATTTAGTACAGTGTCTCCAGGGTGTCACTGTGCAGATTGTACTGGTAGTGATTCTCCTGTTTACAGCCTCCCAAGTGCTGGGATTACATGTGTGCACCACCACACCCAGTCTCACGCGCTGTCTCAGCGTGTCCCCGGGCGGGGCCAGCACAGAAACCATTTACACAGAATCATCAGGCCCCTCTTGGTGGAGCTTAGGGGGAACAAACTAGAACTGATTTTGGTTTTCCCAGTTTGCAATCCTGTCCACGCCTGCGACAAGTCTGCCCTTAAGGCGTATTCTGAGAAGGATCCACAGAGCTAAGGCATTGTTGACTAACCACAAAACTATAGAATAACCTTCCCCTACATTTCACCTTCACACAAAAAGAAAATTGTGATATCATTATGGGAACTCGGGACTTCTCTTATTTGTATTTTTAGAATTCTAGATTTTCCCAAGAGTGATCAGTTTTTGGGGGGCAGGGAGATGGCTCAGTAGAATAAGCGCTTCCTTGGCAAGCATAAGGGCCTGAGTTCAATCCCCAGTTCCGCAAAAAAAAAGTGATGAGTTTTTGTGACAAAGAAAAGAAAAAAATCACTGTGGAGAAACATATTCCATTTAATCTACATGGCAATTGGGTTTGTTCAAGAATCTACAAAATGAGAATCAGTAACTGTACACAGACCCAGTTCCTTGGAAAGAAGCCAGAAACAAGTTCCAGAACCTTCTTTTCCTTTGTGGTAAGAATTCTCAGATGCTAAGATCATGTGTGACTATAATCGGCAAAGGGGGTCACCCAAAGTTAATATCTGCAATATCTTGTAGCAATTCTATCTTTCTCCCAGGAGTATCTCCCGCTGGGCAGTGCCATCAACCGCATTTCTGCAGCGTTGGTCTGGGGTTTCAGGTGTGCCTATTTGGAAATGGAGGCGGGGCGGGCTTGCCCAAGCAGGATCAGGACTTTATTGCAGAGCAGAGTCCACCACCATGCCCGAATCCAAAGTTCAAATGGTTCCGTTCGATTTAGTTCTGGCATGGCAGCTGACGAGCCAGAATCTTAATGCGCGCCCAAGACTGTGAGCTGAACTCCCCAGAATCGCCCTCGACCCCAAACTCGACGGTTGCCCCCTTTAAGAGCCTGCTCCGCGGGACTAACTTTCGAACCGGTCCCGGAGCCCCCCTTCGACCTCTGATTGGCTGTGCGCGGCACACGAGGGCGCGGCGGTCAGCCCGGAACGGTTGGCCGCGCTTCGTGATTGGCGTTCAAGGCGCCTATATAAGGCGCGGGGCGGCCCCACTGCCCTCAGTTTCGCGACTGGACTCGAAAGTGCAGCGGTCGTGGGTAGGAGCATCAGAGGGCAGCGTGCGTCACCGAGTCGCTTCTCTTCGGAGCCCTTCGCAGTCGAGGGCTCACCCCGCGGCGGACTTCTCTACGCTCTCGGTTCCCTCCCGGGCCTCCGACCTCTAGCCAGGGCTCCCCGCACCACCCCGGCGCCAGCCGGCGACAGGGAGGCAGGATGGAGTTCAAGCTGGAGGCTCACCGCATTGTCAGCATCTCCCTCGGCAAGATCTACAACTCGCGAGTGCAGCGCGGCGGCATCAAGCTGCACAAGAACCTGCTGGTCTCGCTGGTGCTGCGCAGCGCCCGCCAGGTCTACCTGAGCGACCCGTGTCCCGGCCTCTACCTAGCGGGGACTCCGACGCCGCAGCCCGGGGAGCCGGCGGCCCAGCCACCTGCCGGCTGGGGAGAGCCGCCCCCGCCCGGAGCCCGCGCCGCCTGGTCGGACCCGGAGCCGCAACCGCAGCCGCAGCC